CCCATTTCCGCAATTACCGTTGATCATCGCAAATAAAGAGTGCTCGGTATAAATAGAACTGTGCCAGCACTCTGACAGACGTGCTTCGCGGGCGACGATCATGTTGACTAAATTGACCGTGTACTCGGCCCGGAAATTAGAAAAAAATAGCCAGCTAAATCCACGTTCAAAATTCCAAAATGAAAATTTTATTTCATTTAAGAGAAAGAGTTTGAAAAAAAAAAAAAAAAAAAAAAAAAAAAAAAAAAAACAGAGACAAGCTCTAACTTATCGAACATTTTTAAGGAGGATTCTTATTGATTTCCGCGTACAATGACGTGGATCAAAATATTAAGCTTTCGTTCATTAAAATGACAAAAAATCTGTGATTTCCTGACGGGTTAAAAATCGATATAGCAGAGGCTCCGATGTCAAACTATACCTTTCCGTCACAGTGACCTGTCCTTGCATTCAGAAATAACCTCCAAAATTTTGTTCTCGATTGTCTCAATGCATAAGAAAGACTCAGTTCAACAGGAAAATGAAAACTCGTTCAAGAATCTCACATTCGGACCATTCGCCATCATTGCAGTTATTGGCGAGAACAGAGAGATCGCAGTGGTTCTAAATAAAGTTTAAATACCTTTGCTGCATTGGGTCTGGTATTTCAAATTTGGACTTCTAGGGCCGAACATTGCGAATATAACGGCTAGAACTCCACTAATGCCGATTATCATGAACAGGAACAGCAAAATCTGCCACACTCGAAAAATATATCTCTTCTTCAAAAAATACTCCTTTTTCGTGGAATCGAAACCCTCTTCGCATATTGTTAGAGTTGTCGAGCTGTCAAATGTCTGCTTGGTAACATTTCCATGTTGTTTGAGAGCGAAAGTAAATAGTATCCGTACAGATCGTAAAATCCATGGACCCTAGTTATTAAGGTCTATTAACAATAGATTACTCTATCCAGGTGGCTTTCACAAGTGGCTCTCATACCCCACCCATAGATGTTAGTCATATGATAAGCAGAAAGCCATATTTGGTCTAGATAACGTTAACATTTCTCTCTCTTTTTTTTTCCTTTATCCAAAACTATAGCACTGCTTTTAAAACAATTTTTGGACTGTTTCATAGTCATTTATAACCCTTGAAGGGCCGGGTTTCTAAAGAAACTGTCGTTGTAACACACACACACATTTGCACCAGTCACGCACTCACCAATGACATGTTATGCGCAGGCAGCAAGTTTCTCGGAACAGAGCGCACATGAAAATCAGTAGCCAGGGTACTCCTCAGTACTGCCTACACACTGGAATGAACCACCCGGTTCTCCAAATCCTTAGCCGTAAAGCATGGATTTTTTACCCTGTTTTCAGATAGGACTGTGCCTCTGCCTTATAAAAGTTAAACTTGGTCTGCAAACTATTGTAAGACAACTTTACTCTGGCGGCCAGAAAGGACTTAAAGTATACCACATAGCAAAGAGGAACTACAACGTTCGCAACATGCACGGACGAATGGCCGTTGTGTTACGGAAGCCACAAGTCAGGCTGTGTTTTTTGCATCCCGCAACGCAAGAAGATTACTGGATAACCTTTAAATCAGTACATCTGTCTGAGAACTTTTTCTCAACGCAGCTTATCTCAGATTTGTGTGTACAGTAAATATTATTTGAGGTGTCCCGTCAAAAAATTTCAAATTCACAAAAATCCTCATTCTGTTTCTCGAGCTGTTAGACGCTGGAGTGCATTAAGAGTTAAGAATGTCATTGGTTAGTTATGAATATTCAAGAAGATCATTTCAAAGCAATCATTTTTTTAATTAGCTCAATTACTCAAAATTTACCGTAATACTTGCGCAATGTTTCGCTTCGAAGAAGTTCACGACCTACAAATCTAATCTTATCCTATGCGATGCACGCTAGTGATCTTACAATGTCCTTACCTTAATCCTTTATACCAAGGTTACAAAGAACATTGTTTGTCTTTGTAAATAATAATTAAATCTATCCTCTACAGCTTGCACGTTTTGGAATACGACAATTTGCCACTGTAAAGCGAAACGTGACCACAATTTAAAGA